TAAGTTTGTTTATAATTATTCCAACAAAGTGGCTGAATATGCCAACTTGTTCATGGTTCCATCAAATACCATGACAACACAAAACCGTGGTTCCATGGTCTAATGGTCATGACTCCAGACTTTGAATCTGGCAGCCCGGGTTCGATTCCCGGTGGAACCTACAATTACAAACAGTTGTTTTTTAATGGATTGACACAACCAAAAGATAATAAGCATATTATATGCAGAAATCGACACTCTGATCTGGGCCCTATTATCAGTCGTTTTGTATGCAACTCCTGGGATTCATTTTACCTAAGGTGGTTTTAAATCTAACAATTTTAACTTACGCTACCCTTAAAAGTCAGCATATGGGTAGTTATTTTTGAAGGGTGACTATTTGCTAATAGACTGTGATCACTCACTTGGCTGTGATTACCCCTATAATCTTTGGCTACCAAGAGTTACCCTTCAAAAATTATTACCCATATATTATTTTCATCACCACCAATAATTTTAGTGTATTATCCATAAAAAAGAAATAAACAATGCTTTTTTGGATAGACATCTTGAATACTATCAGCATTCCAGGGATGGTTCTGGCACCCTTTAAGAGAGGGGTTAACGATTAATTATGTTATGTTTGTATTGATATTTATTTATGAATTAATTAAGTCTTTAAATATAGATAATAACCAAACTAGCAATATCTATAGTGTTTGTTGGACAACATTCTCTGAATTAAATTGTAGTGTAATATTACATATCGTTGTTATTTGAGGATAACGAAGATTCGGGTTTCAGCTCCGAAGAGATATTAATCTTGCTGTCACACTCTGCCTACACCCCCTACGATCCTATCTATTTTGGGAAGAACTACAGGAAAGGCAGGTGCGCTTTCTACGGTTGTTGCAATAGCAGAGAGAAGGATAATCACTGAGGCGAAGAACAATGCAGATTTCATTGCGACAATTATAGTTATAGAGAGGTCGCGAGTTGTAAAAGAAGATTGAAAGAAGATGGGGTGTCTCAAGACCGTTGGGAATAGAATGATAAAATGTCAGCTGTGTTATCCTTCTGAAGGGAATACGTGCCAGGGTGTTTATATAGATTTCATTCAGATGTGTAAATATGAAGGCACAAATATTCCAGGCCCCTCCTTCCTCAACCCGACTCAACTTCTTTAGAGAACAGTTTGCTTTGTTCAAGACTATTAATTATACGCGAGTTTTCCTTTCAGCAATAGCACAGTTATTTAAAAGTGCATAGATTTTGCTACCTATAATGCACTTTATTGCAAATTAGGGCTGATTGTCATTCGCATAATTGGCCATACCTTCATGCTTGAACTACTTTGATATTTTTAGCTATGCCACGCATCATAATGCCCAGAAATTCTATTTGATGCCCACCACCATCAACAAACCGGGCTTAAAAAGGGAATATTGCTATTGATGCATTGTGCACGAATGTGGGGGAAGAAATGTTTTACTTCATTTTTAAGCTCCCCAGAGTTACCAGAAATTGTAGGCATATCTCATGCTACTTTCAACCACCAAAACATGTGATGCTCAGCTCTCTAAAAATAGCTCATGCTCCCTTTTGGTATGACTCAAACACATTGCTGACATCGTTTTTTTGATACTGGTTGCGGAAAGAAACAAGATTTGACTTTAGATTTGATACATATTGATGGATAGGTAATTTTAAATCATCCCAGATGATAAGTTTTTGAAATCAATATGGATTTTGATTAGCATGGGTCTTCTTTACATCCACATCAGAATCAACTTTTCAAAGATATTAGTATTGATAAAGGATATATATTTAGGATAATTGCTGTTTGGGCAATGATTACTATCCAAGTATTTCTTCATCATTTTATTCATTTTCTGTAAATTCAGGGATGTTTGGATTCAATATTCGTGACAGTGCATGCTTCTTGGTTGCTGTTGTGTCAATGGGGGCGCTTCATGGGGATGGAGCAGTCGTTCCAGTGAGAATACAGCGAGTTGCCCAAACAGAAACAGATGCGATAGGCTTGATAGCTTCAAACTGGGGCTCCTATGAAAGTCAAATTGACAATGAGCTTCTGAGCATGAAGAGCAATAATCCTAATGCATACAGTCAGGCGACCAGTATTTTAGGTGCGCCAGAAGCCCCAAAAACTTTTGACAGTCAGTATGTGGACAATGCAATGCAGCTTTTCGCAGGACTCCGTTCCAGCGTATCTAATGAGGTTGCTCCAAGCACTTCAAATGATAGCGGTGCGCCCCAGGACAAGGAATTTGAAACTAGTTCCTCAGAAAGCAAAGTACTGGATAGTCAAAGTTCTGCAGAGGATGCATCTGAGACAAGCAGTGGGCCCTCAAATTATGAATCTTCGGCCCCTCCAAATCAACTACCAAGCCTTGTACAAACATTTACCATTATATCTATTTTCGCTTACTATACACTATTTTAATTGTGAAACTCCAACTTATCTATAATTGCCTTTATGTATTTTAAACCCTACCAGCAAGATTAGTATTTCCCTATACTTTTATAATAACTTTTCATTGATGGGATAATATATTATAAATTTAGTTTTAGTGCATATGGGAGATTACTTTTGAAGGGCTAAATTAATATGGATCATAATTTTCGAAGGGTGACTTTTGGTGGCCAACGATTATAGGGGAAAACACAGCCAAATGAGTGATCACAGCCTGTTAGCAAATGGCTACCCTTCAAAAATAGCTACCCATATGCAGCCACCATCCTCTTGCTTTATTAAAGCATTAAGCTTAATTCTAGACTCTGCCTGATGGTGATAATCGCATTGCTTAATCTGATTAATGACTCGATTACATCACTTGCTGGCTGTCTTGGACTTAGTTGCAAATTGTACTAGAGCAGCCGAATAAAGGATAGCTTTTATATTGTATAATATACTGTGTTTATATTTTTACAGAACACCTTGTTTATTTAAATACTACTGACAATTCGAAGCCTTTATAAAAAACAAATTTATAATGTCATTACAAAGCGGTATAGTAGGTAGGAAGCAGGTTATATACAGTACAATGCAGCACAATTTCTGAGGAACTGCAAAATGTATAATACAAACATGAATGGGTATTGCATCTCTGGCGTGTGCATATATTTAGCTTCTGAGTCTCTGAGAGATTATTTCACACAAGCTGCGAGCAGTAGACAAATACGAGCTATTAAAGTCACGATCCATGATGGTAAGACAATCCTTTTACTTTGGAGGAGTCACCACCATATATATAACAACATTATCTATTTCTGTATATTTTATTTTGAAATTCCTCAATATTAATGTGGTAGAATCCCTCGTTTATGCGAATCATATTTTGGTCCAGGGATCTTTAATGGAAGGTAAATACAGTGTTATCAATACAACTATATGGGCAATAATTTTTGAAGGGTGAAAGTTTACTAATACAACTGGACATCCATTTGGCTGTGATTCCCCTATAATCACTGGTCACCAAAATTCACCCTTCAAAAATTATGATCCATATATCTTATGAATGATTTATGAATCACTGGTAGAATTATTAAGTGATTATATTTGTCTTTGTTTATTTTAGATATGGACAAGATCCCTGATATTCTGGAAGATGACAAACCCTGCTATATACTTGTATTTTTGGAGGATGCCGATCAATCTGGAGCCGATGAAGAGCCAAACAGTAATAATAACTGGCTGTTTTGCACCTATGTTCCAGACTCAGCTCCTGTCAGGCTAAAGATGCTGTATGCTTCAACTCGTGCTACCCTGTCTAGGAATCTTGGAGAGTCATTCTTTGTTGATTCCTTATATGGTACGGTAAAATCCGAGTTTGGTGCTGATGGGTATATCAAGCACAGAAAGAGTGTAGAAGCCAGCGCACCGCTAACACAAAAAGAGCAAGAGCGCAAGTTCCAGGAAGAACAAGAGGTATTTTTCTTCAACAAGCAATTTAAAATATACGCGTCAATAATGACACAAAGTTTATACTATCATCGAATATGGACACTAAACTCAAAAATTGTAAATGCAAATAGAAACAGGCTGGTGATGATGTTGTTAGAATGACTTCTCGTGTGGCTCATGTAAACAAAGTAGAAATCAATATATCCGATGAGTGTATTGGTGCACTCCAGGAATTTCGGAGTGGCAATTCAAATCTTGTATCAATAGTAAGAATCTCTATCACATTATTTACATGGAATAAAAAGCAACTTTGATATTAGCGAGCTTGATAAGAAAAATGGCCGTCATGTGAATACATCTGAACTATTACTGCAAATATAACAATGATTTTCTAATGATTTAAATGTATAGAAAATCGATTCGTCAGAGCAGGTAGTTCTTGATCATTTAACCAAGGATGGATCTCAAGGAGAATTGGAGAGTTGCATTTTGAAAAAAGAGCCTCGATTTATATATTATCGCTATTTTAATCAAAATGATTTGCCAGGTACTTCTTCGTCAGGTGTTATTCTCTTTATATATTCTTGCCCAATCCAAAGCAGTGTTCGCGAAAGGATGTTGTACTCAACATTCCGAGGAGGGCTTGTTGCCCGTTTCCATGAAGAGGATGTTGGTCTGAAAGAAAACTTGAGGGTAAGCATTTTATTCAGCTTTTTATTTCGATGGTACTTGATTAATCAGTCTTAACTGTGTTCTAATATTTTATTTTCTAATCTGATAGCTTGAAGTAGACTCTGTTGATGATATCAAGCCAGAGACATTGCAGGAAAGTGTTGATGAACACTTAGCAAAGGTCCATACTAGCAACCCTGTCAGTAGAACTAGTAGTGTCTCCAACTTTTCATCCCCGGGGCTGGGCCCTCGATCAACTCTATCCAAGAGCACAGCAAAGTTTAGTAAACCACTACCACCTGGCCGTGCCAGAAGAAACTAAGCATGCTAATGACATACTTTTCACCCAATCATTGTATGCACAGTCTTCGGTCATTCTAACAAATTACTTTCAATAAATCTCTACAATATTTATGGATTATTTTCTTTTATACATTGGCATTGCATATGATGGATGCATTCATCCAATCACTTGCTTTCCTACCACTAAATCTGGCAGTAAAAATACCACCAGATCCTAGCATTACTTGATACTATGTCTGGGTATCAAATTTTAGTATACCAAAAACGCATGGTCAGGCATT